CGTCCCAGGGAGTAGCCTGGCCAGCAGCTGCTTCTCCTCCCCACCCCGCCCCACCCCACCCCCACCCCAGGGCAGGCGGGACCTGATGGGCTGCGGCTGCAGGCTCAGGCCAGGCCCATGGTAGTGGCACCCAGGGGACTTATCCCGGCCCTCCCAGCCTCAAAGGAGGGAGAGGAGCAAGTCGCCGACAGGGTGGGAAAGAGAGGCCAGCCCAGCTGGAAGACAGGTGTGGGAGATCCCCAGAATTGAGATCCCCAGGGAAGATGACAGCTGAGCAAGAGGAGGTGGTGGCAGTGAGTGACCTCACCTCTAATGCGACTACAGCTGTGGGAACTACCCACCCACAGGGCTGCAATAGCTGGGAGAGGGGAGGGGCCTCGGAAGCTCTCCAGTCCTCAGCTCCACCCAGGCCCTGGGCTGGAAGCGAAGCTTACCTCACCCCACCCCAGGCATGGAAGAAGGATAGACTGGGGGGTGGGGGGATTTCAGGGTTCTTGGCTGAAGTGTTGAACAGGGAAGACAAAGAACATCCCCATTCACCATGCAGACTGGACACAAAGGACAGTCCAGACTCACTCTTGGGCCCGGTGCCTTTTCAGAAGCAGCAGGATCCAGCACCAGACCACAGAGCAGGGTGCCCCAGGGAGTGGGCTTGAGTAAGAGTCCAGGAGACCTGGAGAGACCTACAGTGAAGGGGCAGCCCCTCACCACCAAGAGTCCTGAGCAGAAGAGAAAGCTGAAGCTTCACAAACAGGAAGCCAAGGGCCTGTGAGGAGGAGGGGAAGAGGGGATGGGGGGGAGGAGGCGTTACCATGACTTCTGTGTACCAAACACAGGCCAAGGCACCCGGCAAGCACTCAACCCGGATAGGCATGAGCAGGCTTAGAGCATAGGCAGGTGCCAGGAAGTCCTGGAAGGGGCAGCTGCAGAGAACGAGAGCCTTGGGAGGAGATGGAAGTTGGGGTGGAGAAGCAGGCTCCAGGAAGTAGTGCAGGACAAGAAATGCCCTGGGAAGGGAAGGCGACGAGTTCTGAAGGAGGGAGCCCACACCTGGCGATCCAGGAGGGAGCAGGGAAGGAGTGCAGAAAGGATAGAGGCCAAACCCCAGGGGGCAGAGATGTGGAGGGAGGGAGGGGGGTCGAAGTTGGACAAAGACTACTTGTTGGTTCTGGAATGGTTGAGTCTGCTGGTCCCGCCCAACCCTGGCCTCCACTGCAGCGTTAGGTCTGCCCTGGGGAGCGGGAAGGAGAAACTGGGAGGGAGTTGGAGATGGGAGCTGTCCCTGTCTGGGGGAGCCCGTCCACGCCACTGGCCTCCTCCTACATCGGATCTTCACACCCCATCCCCACTCGCATCCCGTTTCCTATTGCCCGATAGCTACCAAGCGCCCTGTAATCTTCCCGGTACAGGCTTCAGTTCCCAGCAGCAGGGGGCACCGGGAGGGGACGGCGAGGCTTGGGTATGAGTAGGAGCGCCTGGAAAGCAGCTACCCCCTCCCACTCTCCGTGCCCCCGCGACTTCACACCGACAGGGGCACCCCGGAGCGCAGTCGAGGCAGCAGCCCGCCATGCCTGAGGTCGGGGAACAACCCGGAGACTGGCGCTACAGAGAAGGCAAGACCACCGTGGGGCCCGTGCACGCAACCACTTAGTCCAGCCCATGACCTCAAGTGCCCAGAAACGCGATCTGGCAGGAGATGGCACAGAAAGGGCGGCCTCAGGGACGTGGAGGGCAGGCAGTGCCCACACGTGCACCTGGAACCAGGAAGTGAAGGGTCGCGTGGGAAGCTCCGGGAGCGCGGAGCTGGGCCAGGGCCGGCGACAGGACCGTACGCGCCGTCACTCTGGGCCCGCCAGCTAATGCCCGCGCCCTCCTTTCTTCTCCCCTAGGAAGACTCCGCGCTGGAGCCCCCGGGTGGGGCTCAGAAACTGAGCTCTGGACGGACGCGCCCACCCTGACTCCTAGTCTGTGCACGGGCAAACCTCGCCTGACCTCATCACCCAACAATGCCGGGTCAGGGCTTGGGGACAGGACCTGACAACACCGGGCGGAGCAGAGCGGTCATCGGATCGTTGCCTGGTGCGGGGGCTTAAGCCTCACGCTCGCTGTAGCCCTGGCCTCTACCTTTCTGCGGGCCGTGCATAGTCCCCACCGCCCAGCCTTGGTCCCTCGGTCCTGCTCACCGTACACGCGGCCTGGATAGCTGCGCACTCGAGGCAGGGGCTGCGGCTGCAAGTGGTGCGTCCAGGCGGACCCGGGGGTTTTCAGAGGGTCCCGCCTCAGACGGGGCGGACCTGGGGCGGGGCAAGGGCCAACACGGTTTAAAGGCGCCGCAGCTCTAAAGGTGGGAGGGGCAGTGGGCGAGTATGAGGGTTACAGGGTCTAGAGAGTCTGAGCCGAGAAGGCACCTGCAGTGGTCTCCACCCACGAGAACCTCAACTTCCACCCAGGAGCCCGCAGAGTCGTGGACCCGTGGGAAACTTTCTAGAAGCCTGGCTCAAGACGGTGGGCCTCCTGGTTCAGAAAGGCTGGCTAGGTAAACGGAGCCCCAGGAAGACTCTCCCCTTCCCACTCCCCCCAGCTGACTGGCATGTAGCAGGACCAAGGCTCGCAGGCCAGGACAGCACCCCTGCGAAGTCTTGCTCACCACCTACTTCAAGTCTGGGCAGCGACTAAGTGAGGTCACTCTGCCTGCGGGCCAAGGGGCGTGGTCAGTGCTGGGACCCAGGATTCAGACTTGACTTCTCTTCCCCTTTCTTCTCCTCTGTGACCTGGTGTCTCTTCTTAAATCCTGGAGGGACCAGAAGGGGAGCTCTCAGTGAAGGAGGCTGGCAGAGGGCAACTTAGCTGAGGGGTCCAAGCTGACCTCCCACATTTCAGGGTTCAGTTGAGCCTGGGGTGGGGCCCCCACCTACATCCCTCAGTAGAGTTCCCCACATGTGATAGAGTCCCCATTGAGCCTGATATTCAAGGATGTTGACAACCAGCCCCCTTTGACCTGTCCATCTTCTCCCCTCCACACCCCTGCCCAGCCCTATAGAATCAAGTGTTCCTCTGTGCCTTTACATCTGGCTGGGATGCATTCCCTTCCTGCACTGGCTTCTCACCTGGTCTACCCTTTTCCTGTAGCGTGACTTCTGGGCAAATGACTAAAACATTCTATGCTTTTGTCCCTAGTCTATAGAAGAGCTTTCAAAAAAGAGTGATAAAATATTAAGATCCGAGTTTATTCTGGAGCAAATTTTTTGAAATCCATGCATAGTTATTTTTTTTCCTTTTTTTTTCCACAAGCCACTGGGTCCAGGACTCAAACAACTCAGCCATATGGGATTCAGCCGCCTTAATGACCATGACTAACCCCATAGTTTTTCTTTCTTTTTCTTTTTTGAGAGGTTTTTGCTATAGGGCGCGCTGCCACTCGCCAAAAAGACAGAGACAGAGAGACAGAAAGCGAGAAATCACCCCTCAGCAGGGATGGCCACACCACAATCTCTTCTCCATTCTCCTCTCAGGATCTTGGGCATGCACACACATTCTCCCGGCGTGAGTTTAAGCCACCGGGTCTGGGACTTGAACCATGATCAACTACATGGAAGTCAGCAACATAGCCATATGCCAACTGCTGGTCCCATAGTTTTTCATCGCACACATTTTCTATGAACTTTTTTGAAGCCCCCAGTACTGCCTGAATCATAGCGCTGCCGAGAACTAAAGAGTACATTGAAAGAACTTGGAGCACTGCCTGGCACACTCGGAGTTACCAGGACAGTATTATCACCGTCTACGAGGATCCCAAGGACTGTGCATATGCAACATTTGTCCCAGCGCATGCTATACGCATTAACTAAGGTTTGTTGATGTGAACTGAACCTCCTTTGTGCTACCATAGCCAACACACCGCCTTATCACAGAGCTTATCACATCGTACCGTAACTATTTATTTGCTTGTCTGCCACACTGAATAGAAAGAACTCAAGGGTGAAGGGATGTCTTAGTGAACTTCGCATTTTCTCAGCTTCCAGCTCTATGGCTGGTCTTTGGGAGCTGCTCTCGTGGGCACTCAATAAATGCTTTTTGAATAACTGCTCTGTATCCCCATCCGTTTGGAAAGATTCCTCTCTATTTAAAGGATCCAGGGATTCCCCCCATCTCTTTCAGAGCCAGAGAACACACAGAAACGTTTTCAGACTCTTTATTCACCTGTATAAAACTTCACCCATACCACAAACACCGCACGCACGCACACACACACACAGAAGGCAGACCTATGGTCCTCTTCCAATCCCCAGGCTCACCCAGGGGTCAGCACACCATCTCAGCACAAGCTCATCCAAGCCCACTATCAGGGTCTGCCTGGGAACCACAGGGACAGGGGCAGTGCCCTACGTTAGAGCTAGATCTTTGCGGGGGTCCCCTTTGTGGGTCCATATGCCTTTGCCAGACTCCCTAATATTAGAGGTGTTCACAGCAGAGTGGCCTGTTCAGGGTGGGGCACTGGCTGTCGATAGGCTGGTAGCCGCGCCCTAGTGGCATCTCGGCGGCGGCGGAAGGCCAGGAATTCCTCCCGAAGAGCGGCACAGCGGGCCTCAGGGCCAGGAGCATGGGCAGTGTCCAGGAGGGAGCCCTCCTCTGGAGTCTTCGCACCTGCAAGGGGAGGGCAGGATGAGAGAAGCCTTGAGGTTTGCCAGGCAGAGCTTACACGTGAAGCTCCCTAGGGCCTCCCAGCACAGGTGAGCCTGAGAGTAAGGTGCAGAAGAGCCGGAGGCACTGGGCCTCCAAGGTGGCAGGGGATGTGGCACAGCGCAGCCAGGTGCCTGCCTTCTGGAGGTCTCACACACCTAGCTGTGGCTCAGCTTCAGGTGGGAGCCGGGAGCCAGCCAAACCCAGGGGCAAAGTCTCCAGCAATTCCATGTCTCCAGGGAATTCCGAGTCCCATTCGTAGTTCTCATCCACCGATGTGTTTCTCCTGTTCAGAGACAGATGCGTGGTGTGGGTGGTAGAACAGAGGGTGTCCAGAAAAATCTGGACCTGCAGTCCCCAAACTCAAGTTGGGTCATGGGCTTCTTCTAAACATCCCCAGATCTCAGCAGGCATTTGCACAAGGGGAGACACTAAT